TTTCTACTGAGATTCTATTTGTTTGAAATAATCTTTCATATTCTTCTATTTCTGTGTGTTGGTCTCCCTCCAGAGACAAGACACGTGCTTGTACAGAGTGTATCTTGTTTCTTTTCTTTTCCCAGTTTCTTTCTCATTTCTTATCTAACAAACAAGAACATATAATGTATAATAACACTCAGCCTGCACTCTTGATAACTGTATTACCTGGTTTGATAACTTTTGATAAAAGTCGCAGACTTCATTTTAAAAGGCTCTTGCATCTTTTGGCACTGTTATTCCTGTTGGTGTCAAATTGACTGAAGCTGTTGTAACTCTACATAAATGCAGATGAAAAATGAAATGTCAGTGAGGTTAAATTAGTATCAGCGAATCCATAGCTACAGTGGCATTTTTTGACTATAAATATAACACTGGCAATATCTTTTACACGTTTTGGATGGAATCGTATTCAACTCTATTATATGGAAGGGCAGAGATGTTGAAAATGGAGAAAACTGCGACTGTGCAGCAAGACAGACAGATCCTAAACACATGGTGCAAATTAATATGTTGTTATATACTTTGAAATTATTGCTCCTGAAAGTGTGACCTTAAGCTTTTTTTTCTGAAATATCTGAAAATTGTGGCCAGGTAGTGATTTATGCTTTTAAAAGCAATAAAATATTAGTGGAAGACTGTGAGCCCGGGGGCTGTTTTGTGCATCATGGGAATTTAAAAGCTTAGCTTAAAGGTGTGGTATAAATGAACCAAGAATATAGATGGGTTGGATAACAATTTAACAGTTTTTTTGAGGATTTATGTATATTTGATAAAAAGCACAACAACATGGCACAGCAGCTTGTTGAAAACAAGATCCTCAGTCAATGCAGTACAGGCCTGGAGTGTGAAATAGTGCCATGAGCATCAATACATCACCATTTAATAATCAGATTGTTTGAGGTGGAGAAAGATGTGTTTATATTAAATAATTTTTATGAATGTTTCTGCATTAATAAAGTTTTGTACTATAAATAACTTCTATAGTCTTTCTGTTAAAAATAATTTTACTAAATGACACATGCATTATTTCAAAAATATATAATATGGCTTTCATTTGAGAGTAAATGTGTTTGATGCATAGATGCATGCAAGTTTCTTGCAAAAGAATTGCAAAGACTGAACCAATTAACTCTGTAGGATGAGTCACAGGCCTAGTCCACCTTCTTGATGGCTGTTGGAAGAATTTAATGTCCTAGATGCATGCAATTATCCTTTTAATTAGCAATAATGAGTTTGTGCATGCTGAAATAATGAGTTGAATCGTGATATGTGTGCAGACCTTAATGTGAAGCTCATCAAGATGTAACAAGCTTTGTCGGTAAATATCATCAACTGTCATGTTAAATATCTCATGCTATTGTACTGAAAAGGCCCAATAAGCTGCTTAAATTTATCCTAGCTATGTATGCGTGTGTCCATTTGTGTTTCTGCCTGTTAGAACATGCATGTTCTGATGAAGTTTATGGTCATGAAAAAAAAATGAAGTGAATCTGAATGCAATCCGAAGCACTAAGCCCTCATCAACTTAAATGGCATCCTGTGTCACCAGCTGTAGTGCGTGAGTGTAAGTTCAAGAGGGCTGCCTGACTTCTTCTAGGCTCTTGGATTGCAAAGTGGGCGAAAGGCAGTTGTGAAATTACCAATTTATTTGAGTTTGCCAAACAACATCATTAAGCAAAAAAAATGAAAGTAATGATTAACGAATAAGCACACTCTGACTGGTCAGCTCGTCCAGTGAAAATAACTAATGCTGGTTACGTGCCAACAGAAAGGATTTGCCCACAGTAATTTAAGAGTTAGAGTTAGCAGAAGCTGTTCTATTCATTACATAAAAATGGCAAAATGTGAGTTGGCTGCTCATTTTTTATAAGAGCATATGCCAAACTAGCCGTTAGCCAAGCATTATGTGGTATGAACTGACATGTGATGTGAAAAGTGATGTGGGAATAGCCTGAATGGCTAAGAGAACATGAATTTGTTTCATGGGATAAGATTAAAACTACACTTAAAGGAAGATTATTATCAGCGTGTATCTGTATGCTATAACACAGTTAGACACTTTGTTATGTCTGCCTCCAAAATGGGTTTATGCAGCTTTTAATTGCTTTTGTTGGTGTACTGGACCAAGCAGAGTGAAAAACATCTTCATGTGATATCAGTGCTGATGTTATTTTTTTCAGCTAACAAAACATAAATTACACAACTTAAAAGTCTGAGCAAACATAGTATACCTCACAAAGTTGTGTAAAGTTATTGGACCAAGTTGTAAAATGCTGCACACATTCCAGGCATTGTCTTCAACCCCATTATATTTTTAATTAAAAGATTGCAAGTACTCCCATTAGTGAGAGGCATTCGCATTATATCAACCCCACCTTGTTTAAAGTCAAATTGCGGGATGTTATTTGTTCTATATTTTCATTCAGCACCCAGAAAAAACATTTTGGGAATGGTTTGCACACCATCCAGCATCCTCACACCTTTCTCTTACACATGTTCAATATTTATACAAGCTGTAAATGTTTGACCACACCAAATGGAAGGTCAGCTGAAGGTGAATGCAGCAGTTTTCGATCTGTGGCTGGCCACAGGATGTGTTGATGTTGCAGAACAAGAATGCTGAAAGGTACCGCTGGTATGCATACTCCCGAATGTGTGACACACTGTCTAAAAATGCAGAATAGATCACCTAGACCATCAAACAGGCCATATAGCGAACAGTATTTAATTTGGGAAGGAAAAAATTATTTACAGTAATTGCTTTTATTAAATGTTAAATTAACAGAATAAACAGTTATCAGAGTTATTTTTCAAGCGCATGCTACTCAGTAAAAGTAAATCATCTTAAACGAGAACACTACGTCTGATCTCACTTCTATTACAACTCATTGTTTGCTATTATCCCCACTTGTCTGCCATTCAAATTTCCTTGAAGGGAATGTAGAAAAGTATGTTCACAGCATCAGGGGATCTGTGGCATCAGTGATGTGTGATTTCTCCCAAAAGCTCCGTGGGGTACAATTGTTCCCCCTGAATACAAAAGACAGCGGCATCACAAGCAGGCTGCGGCATACCTCTAGCTGACGAAGGCAGCAAGAGCTGTCAGCGACATCACTCATACCGTGTGCCCACCCTCCCGAACCCGCCGCCGCCTATCCAAACTACCCCACCGGAATAGAAAATAGTACAAGCCCATGTCGTTGAGAGAGGCGGGTCGGTAAATATTTCATATAAAATTTGTAGGCATTGAAGGCTGTTGACATAGAAATGCGATGAGTTCAGTCTGTGTAAAGTCATAGAGGGAAAACGTACCTTTCATTTGTAAAAGCGTCACCTTTAAATAGAATCTGAGGAGGAAGGAAAAATATCCAGGCCAAGGCAACATTTTCTGTGTGTCTGTGTGGGTAATAGGGCATTTATGCTAATTACATTACCTAATCAAAAACATCAGCAACCTAAAAAGGCATTACCAACAGGAGAAAACACTTGGAGAAAGATTGAATCAGCGCACGGCCGAGACTTGGCTTGGCCCCATTGTCCTAGCTCAGAGAATGAGAAAGCAGCATCCATTTTTCCCTTAATGAAGTTAGTGACCCTTTGAAAGGTGACACATTTACCGCCCAGGGGATTTATACACTCCCGCTTCACGGCTTCAGTTCAATATGGAGAGGACAGATTTGACTCCACGTGGATACTCCAAATATATCCTTACAATTTATACCAGGTGATTCGTTTTCAGTCGCTACTCTTATAATTAAAGTTGACGTCGTGGTATTCAGTGTAGGGTAGCAACGATATACAAAAATCATGTTCGCCGTGCCGTTACGCAGCAATCAAGACAATTCGTATTACTACTAGACGGTAATCACGATATTCACTTTCATTCATAAAAAGCCATAAAACAATAAACAAGGTGATAGGGAGATGTCTGGGAAAGAGACTCACATAGACTATGTAGAATTGCGCGTGGAAGAAATAGTCTTTCAAGCATACTAGGGTCTAAGACGCCTTAATTATTTAAAGCATTCTTACTTATGCAAATACACTAAATAATTTCTACATGACAGCTTGAAGCTGAGGCCTAGAGGAGAGATGTGATGTCTGAATGAGGACCCCTCTTGCCTTTGCATGGCCTAGGAACCATAACACTGCAGGCTTCTGGTTGCCTTGGTGCATACTGTTTTACATTCTAATTATCTGGCATGACAGACTTTATTGCAGAGGCTCAATTCTGAGGTCTCATCCCAGACTCATTCCACATGTGATGTCAGTTCTGGGATAATAAGATGAGATAGTCTGAGTGCTTAGCCTTGCCCGTTTGCCTCTTCATTGAGTTTTCAGGTTTTTTTGTTTTTTTTTCCCCCTAATTTTTCCAAGCGTGCAGCCTAATTCTTGGCACAACGAGCATGAATTTTACCTGAATAAGATTCTGGAATGATTCGTATCTTTTTCACAGCTTATTTGACCAGATTTATTTTGGATTCTAAAAGATCAAAGGAGTCTAAGGAGTGGCACATTGACAGTGATTAAAATAAACAGTATTTTGTTAAGATGTTCATTAAAAATTGAATACAGTAAAGCCAATCCAAGACACAAACAGCAAGACATTTTTTTCTAACTAATTAAGCTACAGGGAATTCAGTGCATATTGTAGGTAAACAGACAGAGTCGTGGGAATACCAATGGAAATTAAATGCTCTGCTGGTGTTTTTCTCATTACAAGATGAAATGAAACATTTATCACTGACTTTCATTTCACTAAAAGGCTGACATTTTGTGGGTCAACCACTGATAAGGGGACAACTTTCTTTTATTTGCATTATGATTCATGAGTTCATTCAGCCCTTTTACATCACCACAGCAAAATTGTTGTTTTCCAGTTCTCTGTATGTTCTGACCTGTTGTTTTAACTTTGTTTTGTTTTTTTTCCCCTTCTTTCTTTGTCTGCTTTTTTACAGCCATCGAGGTAAACCTGCAGAAAGCCTTGGCTGAGGCCTCTGAGACCTGTACCCAGGAGTGTCTAATACTAGGCCACTCTGACAGCTGCTGGATGCCCCCAGCCCTGGCCCAGTTCCAGGGTCCTGGCAGCAACAGCCCCATCTCCACCCCTACCACTACTGCCATCACTGCTGCCCTCCCCTCTTTTGGTTTCCAGCAGAGCTGTGCCCGGGGAATAAAAGCTAACATGGGCAGCATGGGGGTCATGGATGGCCGCCATACATTGGGCAGGTCTGTGCCCAAAAAAGATGAACTGGACAAAGGGATCAATCGTCCACAGTTCTACAACACCCTGGATAGACACTGCAGTAAGAAGGAGGACCCCATCAAGGTCATTCCCCTGGCAAGCTTCTCCTCTCCCGGGCAGCAGACTGGTGGGGGGGGCAGCTCTTTCTTACATGAGAACCAGTTGTAATAGTAAAAGACGGATCTTCATTGGCTTAGCATACACGTGACTCCATCCAAAGATGGCCTACAACTATTAGATTAGTATGTATGCGTATTTGTGGGGTATGCATAATTGGAATAACTTGACCAGCTCAATAACCAGCTCAAGCTCAGTTTCACTAATTAAGATATCTGAGAATGGATTGGAGATAATTATGATGATGTTAAAAAAAGAAATCAAGTGAAACCAGTCTGACAAGCGAGGAAGGAGCAAGCAAGTCGTAACATAGAAGACACATGTATAATAAATAAATGGTTATATGCCAAAGTAGATCCATCACAAAAAAAGGATAATTTTGCTTTCTGTTTGGTGAAGTTTGCTTAGCGATAAAAAAGGCCAGTGTACACCTTCAGCTCCTTGGGTTTAGCTTTGTGTAAGTGCATTCCAAAAGACAATTTCCCTGCACGGAAGCAAAAGCAAATGCAGTACTTTGTGTTATGTGAGCTAAATTGGGCTAAATGCTAATTACAAACTCTTGAGTGGATGTTTTTTTTTGTTTGTTTTTTTTTCTGTTGATGTTCTAGTGAAGTATTGCTTTGTAAAGCACATGGCACAAACCTTTTTGGTGGTGGAACATGTTTCTTTTGTCTTGTCTGGACATGTTTTAGAAGACTATTTTGGTCAAGGGGCTGCAGAAGGATAAAAAATGTCTACAAAGCATAACTGGGCCAATAGTAGACAGTGCTGCATCTTCGTCTTTTGCATTCTACATTCTCACCCTGGACCAATGCATAAAAAAAAACCCACAAACACAAAGCCTTGCACATACGCATACGTTTTTTGTTTTGTTTTTTTCACATGTGGTGATTGCTCTATGCCTGCCAACTCTATTAAGAAAATGTTCACACTTAGCATTGTCGCAGTAGCTTAGCCTTGAAAGGAGCAGACAGATGCGCTTTGGAAATGTCGTCTCTGTTTTCTTCCTTTTTGTTTCTATTTCTCTCATTTTGCTGCTGAGAAACATTCAAATGGTAACAGCTCTGGAGCCAATTATGAAATTCTCAGTCTAATTACTTTGATGTGTGATCTCTGTAGTGACCCTCATTGTGGTTTGGAGGTTTGGATTAAATCTATTGCTTTTCCTAAAACATGCTCTGCGTGTGCAGACAAAGTGTAAAGGTGACAATAACACAGCGAAAGCAGCTTAACACTTCCTTTATTCCCACTGTATTTTAACACTTGTGTTCCTGCTATTAATTACTACTTTGTTTTCATTTCACTAAGTTACACTGCAAAGTTTCTATTATCAGTTTTTACAATGTGTTGACACTGGAATAATAGACCAGGGAGCAAAAATTTCTTCAGGGCTTTGAGTCTAGCTGAATTATTGATGTTAATGTTATTTTGGCAGTTATCATAAGAATAGGCATTGGTACTATTTGAAAGGCCCTCCCTGCAGGCTGTCGCTCACAAGGTTCGATAAACACACTACATCACTGCCGGTGTGTGCAAATTGTACTGATGATAATAACTACTTCAGACTAACTTCCTGCTGTAACAGATTGGGTGCAGTATAATCTATTGCTACAGCAATAAGTGACTTTGCTGATATCCATTTTTCTTGCCTGTAACATCCAAGCCAGGTGTCTACATCATCAGGTATATGATTCATGTGATTCATTTTGCAGTACCACCTTGCAAATTGGGAACAGGCCTAAATCTATAATGCAACACGGTATTCTCAAGGGAGGGTGCAAGGCAAATTGTGTTAGTATGCTATTAGTTGCCACACCTATTCTCTTAGATCAGAGCTCTTATCCGTATAAAGGGGATTTATCAGAGACTTTGTGAAACGATCACTTAAAGGAACGGCGTCAAGGACTAAAAATAAAAAAAGAAGGGACAATTCAATTTCACCTTAGTCAATTATGAAAATGAATCAAATTCAAAAGTTAAATCCTCCTATAAATATCCACTGATGGAAATTGCCCTGTTTGGGAATCCAATTTCGACCTATTTACTAATACTTTCATTTTCTTTTCTCTATCATTTTCATTTCATATGATTCCACTGGTGTTGGTGTAGAAGTGCGGAAGGGGGGGCGGGGGGGGGGCATCACACAATGATATGAACAATGCATTTTTAATCAAAAGGAGCACATATCAAAAGGAACATACATCATGATGTCACTGAAAATTGGAATTTTATCTCTGCCAAATACAGATCCAGCACTTCATATCTGCCATCACAGCGTGTAATCCAAAACCTGTCACAAAATCATTAAAAGTCTTTTCAAGTTCTGTCTACAGCTATGTGAAGGGTAAAAAAAAAAATTCTTAGTAAAATTTTTCCAAAATAAGAATTAGGTTTTTAAGAAATGTACCCATTAATTAATTCAATAAGTATAGGTAATATCAGCTTGTTTCTAAATATGGTAATCTGCACTGTTCTCATATCATGAAAAGAGTGTATCTAAGAGAACATGTATGAGTTAACACACTGTTACACTGTAATAAAAATGTGATTGTTTAAAATACACTGCCCAGTCACACATGCAACGTGAGCACAATACTACCTGTACCCTGTGTTTTGACTTACTCTGCCTACATAACTCCTATGTACTGTAATATTGCAGCAGATCCATTAAAGACTACATGAAATACTACTTTTAGAGGGAATACTATAGCAACTGCATGAATGTACACCAGCGGGATGTTGCTTTTGGCAAAAATATGATTTTCTTTTATTATTGTTGTGTGCCTGCATTCATTTTGTTATATCTTATGTCCTCTCACGGGTCAAAGTGGTGTTTTATTTATTTTCAGAACAAAGTGCATACCATATGAATGTCCTGGGTTTTTTTTTTAAGTAAGTACTCTCTCTGTGTCAAAAATTTTCATCCGTTAAAAAACATCAAGTGGAAAGACTAAATGTCGACTTTGCATGATTCTGCTCTCGCTATTACTTTTGAGTTTTTTAAATTTTTTACGCCCTAACAATAGATGTAGAGACGACGCTATACATAAAGATGAGGATTCCTTTTTATTTTAAGACTATTTCTATTCGAAATGTGTTTCATGATTAACATGTCAAGCTGTGTCATAAACTGCATGAACTGTTTGAACTTCCACAAGGCCTTTTGACACTTGACTACGTGGTTCATGCATCAGTCATTAGAATTGATGTCAGTATTGATGTTTACTGCTTTACACGTTTGTCTGTCTTATGGAACAAACCAATGTTACACCGTGTACATGGTCAATCCTTGTGACGTGTGCATACCACTTACGCCTACGTGCACACAAATCTATCTATACATCTATACTGTCAGGTAAACCGGAATTTAAGCTGTACATAGCAGTACCCCTAAGAACTAGTAATAAGGGTCACAAACTGGAAAGACACACATGGTAAATACTAAAGCCTACTTCAATACTACAAATCACTGTTCATAAAAACTGCAAAAGGGAAAAAAGTGAGAACTGAGGAGATGACAATCTCAGTTGTGATGTAAATTGATATATAATATCAATGAGGGTGTGTTTGAAAGTGTTAACAGGTGATGTTGTACGTGTGTAAATGAGAGAGCGTGTATTTCCTTGCATGTATGCGTGGGTGGGCGTGTATACTGGCATGTACATTGCCAGAGTATTTTATGTACACTAATGTATCTTGTAAAAAAACTATATCAAAATACGATATAAGACTTAAGTATATGCTTGTAAATTAGTCATCAGTGAGTCAGGTCAAGTTTGCGTTGAGAGAAGGCTTCAGTGCTTGCCAGCGAATCTGTATTTCTTAGTTAAAGCTATACAGTCTGTGTTGTTATGCCTTTGTAAGATATCCCACTTAAATCTATGAAAAAAATTAACTTACATGGTGAAATGATTTTTCCTGTCATTGAATTTTACTTGAGCCATTAAATATTGAGTCCTTGAAGAATTAATGGATCATGTTTGTCCTTCACTGTTAATTATTGTTTGATAAGGTTTTCTAAGAGCAGTGGAGTATCAGCGAAGCAACATGGGAGCATACTGTCATCATATTCCAATTATGACAAATACAAGCTAATGATAGACGATCGATCAAATGGGAAGTGACATGTCACCTTTTTTTTCACTTCTGCAAATTAGCACTTCTGAGGAAATAATTCAACTTATGACGCACGAAGAGTAGACAGGTAGAGAAGACATGCAATGATTTGGTTTTGACAGTAAAAACACAACAGATACTTGCTAAAGTAGCATTAGTGTAAAAGACCAGTGTTATTATTTTACATTACATATTTTACAGCTTTGTTCTCTGAAAAGAGTTCACACCTCAGCATGCTGTCTGAGAAGATGATTCACATAAATCTAAACTGCACTGTCAAGGTGCCAAGGTGTCGCCTAAAAAAGCAAAATCACCTAAATTTCAATGCAACAAGACTTTTTTCCATTTTGCTGCCTAATTCGCAGACAAACAGACAGAGAGACTTTGAAACCAGTGGAAACAATTCCAATAGTTCAGCTGTTGTTGATCACTTGCAAATCAGCAGTTCAGACTGTACCAAGTGGCAGAATAAGACCCAGAGCAACTGTCGGATTGTATCTTTTATTTGTTTTTTATCTAATTTCAAATTTTTGATTTCAATTTAGTCTAAGTTAGTTGTCTAAGTTGTGGTTTTTGGTAAGTTTTAAATAGTTTTGTTGTTTTTGTTTTTAACTTTGATATTATAAAGGGTTGTCAGAAGCCAATTTTAAGAAGATTAGAATAAGCATTGTAACAATAATGCATGCATAATTTGTGAGTGACTCAGAAAGATCTAGACACAAAATTTGAAGAATTTGACTTTAATCTCAGAATTCTGAGAAAACCTAATTTTTTCTTATTTTCCAGAATTCTGAGATTAAAGTAAAAAAAAATATTTTTTCTCAGAATTCTGAGAAAAAATAATACTGATTTAAAAAAAAGTCAGAATGCTGAAAGTCAGAATTTCTCAGAATTCTGACTTTTTTCATCAGAATTTTTTTTTCTCAGATTTCTGACTTTAATCTAAGAATTCAGACTTTTTTCTCAGAATTCTGGAAAAGAAGAAAAAAAAGACATGCCCAGTTTTTGTTTTTGTTTTTTCCCCAGTGGCCCAAATCGTCTTCTGTAATCTATCTTGTTAATTAGTTGTTGAACAATATCTTGACAATGACCATAGGACACAGGAAAATGTGTCTAAGTTGCAATCCCATTGCATCTATTTAAGACTGTATTTCCACCAGGCATGCATTCCACCCCATGACACATAAAATACTGTTTGTATGATTTTTGTTTTAACAAAGTTTGCTGAAACTGCATATAGAAGATGAAGAAAACATTAAATAAGACAGCAGAAAAAACTACTATTTCCAAATAGTGTTTCAATAGAAACACCAAAGTATGATTTGAAACCATTTCCATTTGAAGACAACAACAGGACTGTGTCGTGAACACACGAGTAGTTAATTTAGGTTTAGGATAAATGAATAAAATGTATTATTGTTGTTGTTGTTGTTGCTTTTAATACAACTTTACCGGGTGTATTTGTCTTCCATGCATCTGACCGTCCCTGTCATCCATCAGCCAAGTACTCATCTCTCAATCTATCCATCCATGAGAACTTTGATGCCTCAAAGGCAAACTGTAAAACAGCCTCAACAATCCCCTTGGGCTATGAATTCTACCTGAGGCCCTTCTGGCTTAATGTTTTATCCACTATACTTTCATGAATACACAAGACCTCAGAGGGGGAACCTCAGGCATACAGTACACTATTGATGCTCACAACAACAGGACATGACAGGATCTCTTGGCACTGACTCCTAACTTGTGTGACACAAAGAGTCATGTCATGTAGCTTGTAAGACTTCAAAGCCTTTCTGGACTGTGTCATCTCATAGCATCTTCAGCATATGCTCAGTCCCCAATCTCCTTAAGAGAGCTGGCTTTGACCTGCCCCATTAGTTTTCCATGGTAATTGGTTAATAATGAGACAGTGAAAGTCCCAAGGATGTCTGCACTGTCAAAACACATACCCAACTACACAAATCTGCATTTCCAGTAATTACTGCATATTTGAACAGAAAGAACTTTGTGATCCTTACAGTGACTTGAATGCTTGCCATGCACACACACACATACACCCCACACCCTCATTCCCATCTGCTAACAAGCACCAACTTATTGTAAGCCTACTTAGTTCTCAAGGTGTCATCTGTTGAAGTGTCAGGAGAACATATAGAGATTGTCAAACAGTACACTCATTTCAAATTGTAATTAAACTGGCCATCAGGTACCTAGAGGCTGTTTAGTCAACAGCAGGGTACTAATTACTATAAGATGACCTTTGGAATAATATCTGGTGAATTATTCATAGTTGAGAAAATTGCTTCGGAGACATGCCAACGACATCCAAGGGGCGTCTGAGTGTACACATACTCAAAGATTTCAGGATGGCAATAAAATAAGGTCACTAGCTGGAAAAAACAAGAACTTTTTCCTCCATGAAAAAGAGGTGTCTGGAATAAAAGTACAAGTAATGCAACTTTTGAAAAGAGAAATGCTGGAGAGAGAATCCACTGGCTTATGTAAAGGTAATGTAAAGGATTTCGAAGAGAAAAGATGTCTGTCTTGGGACGCCTTAAGAATATTAACAGCAACAACAACAAAAGCAGTGTGCTTAAAAACAGTATTTGTTATTTTCTACCTATGATGATCTCCAGCAGAGACATAAGGTAATTAATTTAAGCGAAAGAAATCAACAATTGTACATTTAAATTAAGAAAGAAAATTAGAGACAAAAAACAAAGCACTGTTAACATATTTCAACAGATGCATCTGCCTACGTGACAAAACCATTAAAAGCATCTCTATCATGCTGGAAATGTTTCTGTGAAGTATTCTGCACTGAGCAGATAGAGGTCTAAGATAGTTTCTTTCCCATCTCTGTTTAACCTTTAGGGACACTTTGCTGAAATTACTGCTAGGATCTCATACAGAACCCTTCACTTTATTTCTAGGTGGCATAAGTAGATAGCTCTGAATCTACAGTAAATGATTAGAAATCTGTGTGGTC